TGATGATCTTGCGTAATGGTATGCTTGACGTATCATGTTATTATTTTATACTTTAATAACGAGCTGGTACGTGAAAGTACGTAATACACGTTCGAAGTGTCGTCGAGTCGTTCGTCACGCATGCGCGTAGGAGTTAAAGGACGGAAAAAAGAAAATGGCTCTTACGCAGTGAATACGTGTCGAATCCATTGAAAATCTAAGCAATCGAAACGGACGAATCTAAGAGATCCGAAAAGTGTCTGTTCCTCTGAGGAATTATAATTTACCTAACCTAGCCTAATGTGAATCGTTATAAATACATACAGTGATCTGACTTACTTAACTGATCATATGGAAATCCAGGTTACGTGCTGCCCATCATGCGTAAAGTGTTCACCGGTATTCCACACCTATAAACGGCCAATAAATTTACGTCATTCAATTCATTCCCAGGCCATTCGATATCTAATCGTATAGGTCGTGTCTGTCACTTTTACGTTCACCGTGCGAAATGAATTAGCCAATGGGATATGTCATGGGAGTGGCATCTTTATTGAAGCAGAAGTAAAAAGTGTAATACAAAGTCAGAATTGTGCGGATCGTGAATAAAATAAATGGATCGAAAGTGCATAAAAGGGTACGGAGAAGAAGGAGAGAGACGAGGGAAGATACGTATTACAGAAAAAGATAAAAGATATGGGAGAGCAGCTCGACCAACTCGAAGATCGTATCAATACGAAGTGCTTCAACCAGACTCCCGATGAGGTAGCAATGTAGCATCGATACTATCATGGCGTTTCTTCTTGGGGCCCCGTATGTCGTCGACTCGTCAAGGCCCCCTGATTGCAGGATGGACAATGTGCAATGTAAGTAGATATCTATAGGTATATACACCGTAACGATGTGCAACGTAGAACTGAGTATCGGGCACCTGAGCAGGCTACCGTCTTAAACGGAAAGAATTGCTGGATGAATTATTGTAGGAGAATGCCACGGGCGACGCATGGTGAAGTGGAGGGAAGGGGAGGAGGCATTATGAGATTTTGAATTTTTCTCATGGACGGTAAATACTTTTCGATGTAAGATGAGAAAATAATAAAAACTGAAAAAGGAAATGGATTAAATCTGTATGTAGGGTTACGAAATTTCGGGTGCTCACGATCAGTGCTCCTTAGGCTTCTCGCTTAGATACCTTGCTTACGTATAGCGTGCCTAATATTGTATATATTAAATGGCGGAAATGTATATCACTCATGGGAATAGGATGGGATCTTTATGAAATTCCCATAGAGAATCATGCTGAGATACATATGTATACGCATAACGAAAAATTATACAGTATAATATAAAACACTAAAGGCATGGACCCTAATTCTAAGTGACTAATTGTTTTACTATGAGCCAACGATACTCACAGCTCTTACATAATTCAGATTTATAATAATGGGTCCTTCCTGCTTTTTGGGCCGTAGCGTTCGTCGATTTTTAGTAGATATTTAGGTAAGGGCCAACAAATAAAACAAAAAGACAAAAGAAACCAGAAAACATTTGCTGGTTCGTGCTCAACGAGCGAGACGCAAAACACGTGTCTGATCTCGTTTAATATTAAGTAGACTGCGTTAGGCCCATAGGCATTTGGGTCCCAGGGTCTTAAGTCCCAGACGGAGTAATGTATGTAATCAGCGAATGCACTTGTTACAGTTTCAGCTTGATATTTGCAGACAATCGACGGGGTCTGATCTGGCTCCGGAAGTTGGAGAGATACTCGCACTCTCGGATCAGATAGGTTAGTTAAAGGGTACGGACCCAAAAGGGGGGCCCGAATGGGGCCAATGCCATTATTACTACAGAAGTTAACAAGAGTTTAAGCAGTTGGCAGACGAAAAAGAAAGGATCGGTACATATATACAGTCCCAAAGAAAGGCCCACATGAGAGAGTCCCCCCCACCATTCCAGTTTCACGATCCCTATCGTTCTATTTGCCGATTCCGTTTCCGGCATCGTCATTCCGGCTTGTTTCGCTTTCCGGGCCAGACTCTGACAGATTTAAAGAATTGTTATTTAACTCACTCGAGAAGATCCGACCTCTGCACTGTACCTACCTATTGCATTATCTACCATCCTGGGAATACGAGCCTGTACAATTCCCTTTACAGTTAGCTCTATACAGGTAGTTTCAAAAAATACTTCTCATAAAGATCCGTCCAGTTGCACAGGCCATTGCCAATTGTCTAATTCCTCAGTTCACATCGCGCCAATGCACGTAAGCAACCTGGCCAGGCCTACCTGGCCTACCTGCCTGCCTGCCAGCCTGCCTACCTAGCACTTCCTGGTGCCCAACAATCCTGGCTCGTCCGATCGGCAGAAAGTAGCACCGTTGCTGCCTGCCCGGAAGATCACCAGGCGTACGTACGTCTCCCGTGGAGAAGTCTACCATCTATCCAAGTCAACCTCGTTCGCTAACACTGTCAGGAATCAGGAGTCTGCCTAGTGGGCCCAGAGCCTTTTCTTACGTATGGCACAGCACGCACTCTTGCACCACTCACACGTACCATACATGTGTGCTTAGTACGTAGAATACGCAACACGTGCGGAATTGCAAGTAGGCGTTCACTTATAAATATATATATATATATATCTATAGTTACGTGTATCATACGTCTATAGTTTTCGAGACGTGTTTTAAGGCTGGGTCCACCCTGCCTGCCACGTCTGTCCTTAGCTCGGTAACACACGTTGGAATCGCGAGCGAATGCAAACGTCTTGCGGGATTAGCACTTACAAACCCTGCATCCTGCTTCGGGCCGCACCGCTTACGCGCTTTGGATAGACGAATAAGATAAAGCCGCTTAACGCAGGATACACGACCGTTATGCCTTTGCACTTATTTACTTCGCAAGCGAGATGGCTTATCCGGCGGGTCAGCTCAGCCGCGAGACTTTTACACGCTTTACATTAAATGCAATAGGTTCTCGTGGCGCTACGAGACGTTTTTATCCAATTACAGTGCACGCGTGTGTAGTCGTTTTGATTTCTTTTTTTTTCTTGCGTTGCGCGCATGTGCACGTAGATGGGCCAAGGAATAGTTCAGGCGTACGGTGTATTGTCGGGTGAAAAAAAAAAAACATTCCGTCACACGGAATCTCGTTTATTCCCATGTGCTTTAAGGCGAACCCTCAAAGAAACGAGAAAGGAAGCCGTTACCTGGCCCTAACGGAATCTGCATTTCCCGCTGACCAAGATGCTCCCAATGTGCATCCAATTAGACCAAATCGAGACTCCCAATTGTCCGAAATAAGGCGACTGACACCGTGGGAGATAACTAGGGAAAAGGCATCCATCGATCAGAGTACTTTCCCTTTCGTATTTTCAAAAAACCGTGGTAGGTATTGAAAAACCCTTTGAAAACAATTAGATTTTCCATAGCAAATGAAAATTTGAAAAAATTTCAAAGAAAGTTCAATGCAACCTCAAAATATATTTAAAAAAAATAAAGATCCGCTTTCAAAAATTTGGAGTTACTCGGGTGACCTGTGTTTCTAAAAAAAAAAAAAAGTCCAACGTAAAACATAAAGCAGCGCAATAGTTCGAGCCGAGGGGGTCGTGTTTCCGAGTGGATCCGCCAGATGTCTCCCGTTCTCGGCATCCCGGACGCGGATGCTGAGAAACCCGTTTCGCGGTGGCTCATCTCGTCTCCAGTACGAAGATCTCGGAGTCAGAGAGTCTCGAGTGTCTGAGCGAGGCATAGGCAGCGAGTCCGAACTCCCTGTCACCGTGTATGACCATTCAGCCAATGGGAGGGCCGGTTTCTTCCCCTGCCTTGCTGCGATTGGTTGAGCGTGCCAGTTCTATCGAGCGAGCCGCGCCTAATGGAGGCTGTGCACGCCACACAAGGGTTACTAAACCAGATACCACCTTTTGACTCCACTCTACACAATGTTCCCCACTACCGGGACCCCCTGGCATACGTGAGAGAGCGAGACAGAGCAGGAGACACCGGCTGAGCGACTGAGCTAGCGAGTGAGCTATCGAGTGAACCAGCGAGGACACTGCCAGTAGTAACGAGACAGCCTACCGTTCTGTATTCCTGCTCCCTCCTGCGCCACTGTCCAAATTCCACTGATCGATATATGCCCGAACTTACTTGAAATCCTGAGCTGCCCGTTCAACTTGAGCTGCTTTAAGGGAACTTAAAGCCTGACTTTCCTGATATCCAGACCCTTGCTTTCAGATTGTGTACACTTACCTTCGAGTTTACTTATCGTTAGACACTGTTATGCTTGCCTGGCACGTTGGTCTTACGTGACGTCACATCGTTCGGGAATATTACCGATGGTACGTTCGCTCGTATAATAACGTCTTCTAGGAAGGATTTATTCCATGGAGGATAAGGGGGGAAAAAATATGTAGTCTAGTTAATAATTGCTTCGACTTTAATCGTTGAATGTAAGATATGACTGGCTGGTAGGAGAATCACTTTGCCGCATAAGAAGCAAATACGAGCAATAGGAGCGATGCGAGGGGATACTTGGAAGTTGAAGAAAGCTGTGCTGTTTAGTTCTGCTGAAAATCCAGGTGGCGGTAGTGTCTACGTCTGTACGTCTATACAGATGCAGGGGATAAAATGTAAGAAAAGATGGGAGTGGTGGGGGGAGGTAGAGGCGGTAGGAGTAGCACAGCAGTATAGCAGTACAGCATGGGTAATGGGTATACATGTACATCCCCGTGAATTTGTGTTATTAATGTATAATATATGTACAGATATACGTATGAAGTATGTATGTGTATCTGACCCAACCTTGACGCAAGCGTACAATATATTAACCAACACACTATCCGACGGACCGAAGTGGCGTCGGGTACGCAGGGCATTTCTCAACGTTTCATCGCGCAAACGCCTGGCGTCCCGACGCTCTCTATACGTCCCTTCGGACGTCCACACAGCCCCGGCAGCCACCAAAACCCCACCCCTTCGACGCCGCCTAAGCCAACCCTCTTTTCATCCGTCGACGTTACGCCGATGTCCTGCTTGCGTACGAAGGCGTCGCACCCAGCGTCGCTCTGGCTGGCTGACGCTGCGAGAGACGACAAACGCGGCTTTACAATTCCTTCTCGCGTCCTTCTCGTGAGAACGCGACGGCGACGTCCAATTTTATCGTGCAAATTTGCGTTTGACTCGAGCGCGAAACCGAGCGAGTGTTTCGGGTCGCTTCGGGAAGGTTCGGGTTAATTCGTTATTTTATTTTTTATTTTTTTTTTTAAAAACGTGTAAATCATTATTCATTCGACTGTAAAGGATACTTGGGATATTATTGGAGAATAATTTTGTTACTTTCTTCATTATCCGTTTCATTGATTCTCTTTCTTGGCTTTTATTTATTTTTGCGGAAACTTTCGGCTCTTATTTTTTCACTTAATATTGTGGTAACAGTGCTTTATCTTTAATTGAAAATGACTTTTATTGCTTCTGTTTCTTAATCATTAATTTTCAACGTATCCGAACAATGTAAGGATTAATACAAATTTTTAAGAAGATCGATACTAAATACTGAATACTCAAGGCTCATCCTCATACAAGCGACACGTGTTCTGCAAGTCAATTGATTTTTTCGCATCGATCGAACTATCGACTCCATCGGGAACGAATTAATCGCCTCGGGATACTGCTCGTCCTTTATAAAGGATTTTTAGAATTTTATTTTAAATAAATTTTGATTTCATTTATTTAATTAATTCATGGTGCTGATAAGGGACTACTGGTTTTTGTTCTGTGATTTGTTGTTACACGTAATACGACAAGAGTGTTTAAGGATACTCCTTTAAAAAAAAGGACTACTTTTTCTACGAAAGGTGCTCAGCAAGGTAATCTTGCATTTCTTTTTCCATAAAGATTTTATATACCTAGTCAGCGATATCCGTCGCTCGGATGAAAATTCAGTCATGGAAGATACTTCTTCATACTTGGAAGATTCCCGAGCGTGATGACTCCAAAAATAGTTTGACAGTTCACAAACAAGTTTTTTTTTTTGACAATTCCCTTACTAACGATCGCTTGAAAAATCATTGACAGACCTCGGCGGCGGCGACGCGCAAAGTGTGACAATTAATCATTAAACTAATTACAAGTGGAGTTGCGTGGAAGGCGCGACGTCTAAAATAACAAAGTGAATTGCAAAGCTCAAGTCCGTCTGAGCATCCGTCATGAAAATTCTTAAGGAACGTAAGAAAAATAATTGAGATTAAAAGAATAAATTGCCGACAAAACAATTGAAATTCCTAATTATTCAATAACAGTCGCAAGTTTATCTAACGTTAAATGTTTTTGTTCTTATAAAAAAAAAAAGTCGGTCGGTTGATACAATAAATAATTAACTTGCCAAGTGACAGTGGCAGTTGTTCGTTCACAAAGGTACATTGAAAGTCCCTCCTAAATATCAACGAGAATCCCGCAAGCGACGCGATCAAGAAGGGAAGCGACGGCCGTCGGGATTCGCCAACAGCATTTCTTCCATTAATCGTCGAAGGTGAGGAAAAGATAATATAAAATTATTAAATCCAATTTTTTAAATATACATTAAATTATAAATAGAAATCCAAGAAATGAAGAAAAAAAAATTGTAAATAATTTGAATTTTTCTTGATCCTTTTATCGTCCATCAACAATTGACTGTATTAATTAAGACTGTATTCTCGTTCGAGGTCACGTTGAAACGCTTCCCTTCCGCCATACGTGGAGCAGCGCATATTCAGTCGCACCAACGCGGTAGGAAGTTCGTTAAGAAGCGCCGAGTGATTAAGACAACGTGTCGCCGTAGTTCCCGGGGTGGCGAGTATATAAAGCCGCGTGCACAACGCAACACTTGCTGAAACCCACGTGGCATCGCACATAACGGACATTGATTTATCGTCGTATCCGCGAGCCTCTACTAATTAGCTCGTGGCTACGTTCGAAACTGACTTTATACTACGTTGGGAATTCATTCATTAACGGGACAGAACGGCAGTCACGAATTGTTTTCATTGAGAAGGTTTCTTGCTTGCGTGCGCCGTAGCTTCGCGGCTTCTTAATGCCTGAGGAGCTCAATGAGAATCGGACGTCGCCCGGAAGTCTTCACCTCGGATATTTTTCACTTCCGGTTGTCTTTGTTCAGCTAGACGTAAAACATAACGGGGCACGTCGAGCGCCCCGGCGTCTTACATATTTGGTATGAATATAGTTGAGCATCCATTTTTTTTTTTATTATCCATGTAGGTACTCACGCAATTTGAAATTCATTATCTGTCTGAAAATTATTCGCTTTAGCTTTTACGATAGGTTAGGTAAATATAGAAAAATTGTATGATACTCATCAATTATATGTGATCGAAATTTAATATCAGATTGATATTAAATTTAAATTGACGTGCTAAAGCACGTGATTCGGAAAAAGATATTTTGATTTTTTATTCCAACTAATATATACGTGTGATACGTGTAATGATACGTGTATTGTTAACGAGGCCAGGGATAGTATAAAGTTTCAATATTTAATTGATGAAATAATTATTATCAGCGAGGTATGAATTTTCGTTGAATATAATTTAATAAAAAGCCACAAGGTACGTACAGGAAATTGCAATGAATTGAATCGAGGGTAAATCAACTGCTCGATAGGTAATCGTTTCTCGTTGCTTCTCATTCGAAGTGCATCCGATCGATCTTCTAGCTAGCAGCATGTGCATACCGAGCAGAAGAGTCTGAGACTGTAAAACTAAAAGGAGCCTGCGAGTAGCGAGCAGGTATAATATAAATACGGGAGATGCAAATGCAAATCTGCGATTGCTCAGCAAACCAAATGCTATCTTAACCTCGTTTTGTCGGATTTCTCGACTTTTTTTTTCGTCTCTCATTATTTTTCTCTTTTTCGTTTGCGCGTCCGAGATCAGGTTGACTCCCTGGATTCTTCGTTTTATCTGGTCTGAGGACACGTTATATACCTATAAAGTTCTCGAACGAGTATAATTATAAGATAATTAAAATAATTGAATTTTTCAACAAAAAAAATTTGATCTAAAAATTTCAGATACTCAGAACGTCAGTGTTTTCTGCCAACATAATTGACGATATATCGGGCGTGTTTAGTGGCGAAAGAAAAAAACAAAGAGAATCGACGTGCGGTGTCAGAATGACAGAATGACAGAATGACAGAATGACAGAATGACAGAGTTGAGGGAATTGACAGTGTACACAGAGAGCCGTGGCGAACGTGGCGGGTCAGGATGCTGAAGGAAGTTGGTTGCGGCGGTGGGACACCGTTGCCAGGTGATGGCGCAGTGAATGGTCGTCAGGTTGGCAGCGCTGAGAATAACCACCCCGAAGGAGCCCTTGGCTGCGGTGCTTGTGGACGTGAGATAACGGAACGCTGGTATTTGAGGGCTGCCGATCGCGCTTGGCACTGCGGCTGTCTTCGTTGTTGTCATTGTCGTCTCCCGTTGGCAGCGGAGCTCACGTGCTATTTGCGTGACGGCAACATATACTGCAAGGAAGATTATTACAGGTGAGCGTGACAGATGAGAAATGATAAAACAAAAAAGTAACTAGCGTTTTTATGAAATTTCTTAATAATACCCTAGAATCCGATATAGTACCTTTATGAAGATTCAAATATCCCGCGCTTCTTTTTTTCATCGGCACCAAAGGTATATCGTGCTTTAATCATTTACTGGGACGAGGTTGGCAGTCGTGCCAGTGCTCTGTCGAGTCTCTCAAGAGGTCAGAAGGTTCTGTGTGGTGCGAGAGGGTTGACGAGTGCTGAGTCTAGTGAGGATGGGAAAGCTTAGGGATGAAAAATGAAGGGAGAGGAACGTCACTTTATTCAGTATAACATATGACAGATTCGTATTTTAGTATTTATTCACGTTTCTTTTTATTAGCTATATCATTTACGTGCTTTGGAGTTATCGAGTTCATTTAAAATTTGATATCGTTACTGAATAAATGTTGCTTCTGTTTGAATATCCCGCCGGCCGTTCCAGCGACCCCCTTCCCACCTTTCCACATTTATATATTTATTGAGCCAACGTTCGATTTGCATAGGAGTCTCACTTGCATCTTGCTGGACCACACAAAATGTCTACTAATGGGCATCCACTAGGGACTACTATCTACAGATCTTATATTCTGAACGCATTCGGTAACACGCGTGAGTGACGCACTCCCGCGTGTGATGAACGATTATTCCCAGCGTTATGGATTTTCACGTCACTGTTTGACGCGACGACATTAGACACGTGCGAAGCAAATTAACTGCCGAATAAATCTGAACGGACGATTTCGAGCATGACTTCTGACCCGAAAAGGGCTTGAGTCCATTATCCCGGGATTACGTAATCACGTGACTCCTAGATTTACCGGACAGACGTTAAGGAATAGGAAAAGTGAATCCAAGTGGGAAGGAAGCGAGCGCCTGGTGTATTTCTGGTTTCTGGTTTCTGGTTTCTGGTTTCTGGTTCGTTAGGGTAGAAAAACAGAGACACTCCATGCAATATGCAACAATGCGATAGAAGGTTGCTTCTATGCTTAAGGTCCCTTTGTCTCTATCGTTCGTATTTGGAAAAAAAAAGAAAAAAAAAAAAGAAAAATTGTGTGGCTGCCTTCACTCTCTTATTCCGATTCCTTCTCCACGTGCAAGCGCATAGGTAGACGTATTCGCCAATGCATGCGGGCTCTATGCGATGCACATACCTACCTATGCACTTGTACCTTATTGCCGTCGGTTCGGCACGATAGTGGAATTGTAAGGAAGCCTTGAGGTAACGTACTAGCATAAGCAGCTATGAAAACGAAGCTACGGGTAGTTATAGCGAATGGATTATGGAACGGCGCATTGTTAACCTTTTTTGGAAATTCCCCAAGCCCACCTTCTCGAAACGTGGGTGGCTGCGTTTGCGCCTGCCTGACGTGCGGATTATTAATGCGGATTATATGCGCGTAGAATGTCCCTATTGTCCTATTCTCTTCTCTCTGTTCGCGTTCGCTTTTCTCTTTGCCTGTCGCCGTACTCGATTTTTCATCAGTTCCACGCTGCTCCGTCCGGTTTCATCTTCTTCCAGGCTGTTTGCGGTATCGAGATGCGCGAGATGCAGGGAAGGAATTTCAGCATCCGAATTGGTCATGAGGGCGCGAGACTTGGTCTATCACGTGCCGTGCTTCACGTGCGCCTCTTGCGGCACAAGATTGAACAAGGGCGATCATTTTGGGCAGCGGGAGGGTCTAGTGTATTGCAGGTGAGCCTGGACAAAGAAGAAAATTTATAATTTTAGGATTTTTATACATTGCTTTCTACGGTAATAAAGTGCAATATTTTTTGCACTTCTTTAAGGCCGCATTACGAGTTGATCTGCTGCGCGGCTGATTACGGAAGTACTTCCGGAAGCGTCGAGGGTATCGGGTCGCCTGGTGTCTCCCCAGGACCCGGTTATTACAGTGCGGCAGAACAGAGTCCTTTGGCTTCCGGTGGTTCGATGCAGAAAGGACGACCCAGGAAGCGGAAGCTCTCGGAAGTGACAAGCTCCGAGTTACCGGTAACCATGAGACTTGCTCCCGGAGCACTAGGCAAGTACCACTCTAAAGAAAAAATAAAATAACTGTACCACGACAATTTTTTATTTCAAAAAAAGGTGGAAAACGTACCAGAAAGGATGCTTGGAAATTTATTAAAGGTCTTTTTCTGACGTAATAATGTGATTCGGTGTTATTGTTATACTTCCCTCAGGTTAGGTTAAGTTGGACGATAATCTCTTAAGGGTGGGTAGGGGGGTCAGGGAGTATTCCTAAGAGGAAATAAAAATTGCAGAAGACTATAATCGGCAGTGCTCGCCACTCCGGACGTGTAAATACTCGTAATTGGTAGGAGGGTGGCAGCCCTGCTGGAGAGAGAGAGAGAGAGAGAGAGAGAGAGAGAGAGCCATAGGGCGAAGTTGCGAAGAAGTATAACTAGGAGGTGAACGGTGCCCGACGACGTTGGTGGTAGCGTGTTTGTGGGGCCGGTGGGTGGTGGGGGTGGGACGGCGAGATTCAGGGGCGGCCAAATGTAATTGGCCGGGTGGCAAACGGGGGCCCACTTAAGTCTCAGTCCTAAATGTTGGTACACGAAATCAGACTCGATCGGAACACAAATGAGATTTGCTCTCGTCGCGCGCGACAGGTTGGGGTCGCGGCGCTATTATTTGTCGAGCAACGGATGCACCATTCTTCTTTCGCCGAGTGTAAACACGGTCGATGGCCACCCCTATGACGTAACACGAGTGCCAGTCGGTTCGCTTGAAAAAAAATGTCAGAAAACAAAGAATTATTTATAAACGCCTCCGACCCGTGTTGCGAGAGCGATTAGCGTGCATGTGAGCCTGCCTTTATGTTTTAAGCTCCTTCGAGGAGGGATCAGTCGTATGGACGGCAGAACGTTTTATTCATCCTATCCTTATTTTTTTTTTAATCTAATCATCGAAATTGAATTAATTCCACTTTCATCGTATCTCGCACCTATACTCTTTCAGGTAAAACCGATCGGCTGCTATACCTGAATTTTTTATTTCCCAGCAGTCCTATTTGGTCCTGTCGGCAGTTCACTGACTGCTGGTACGGAGATACAAGAACCAGTAGAATTGTAATTACCGGCTGGCCAAGTCGCATGATTAGAAACAATTAGTAGTCCAAGTCGATACCTCGTGACGTCATAAACATCCACTCGGCTCGGTGAACTTGAATTCATTTACTTGCTCCTGGAGGATCGTCAAGTCACTATGAGTCTGTATACTGCATATAAGCATAGTCGCCGGAATAGTTAATGATGGACGATCGGGTATAGTTAATAGATAATCAGAGGCATTCGAAGCACTCGAATACTATGTCCCCCTACGGAAACACTATCTAGCTCGATTTGCATTGGACTGCCGGATAGCCTGGGTCATGCATAGTGAGATGCAACTATGCAGATTATCTATAGTTAAATCATCAGTGACATATGACGTAGCGACACTCAGTGGGACAAATGTCGCATCCAATTGGACATGGATCGCTCCTGATTTATAATTCAAGTATAGTTATCGGGCTAGGGTTATTTTTTTATTTATCATGCGTGATAGTGTGTATCACATGTGTAGGCATAGTGACAGGAACCAAGTCATCGACTATCAGTGGAATAGGCTACCAATGTTACGCCATACCGTATTCATCTTATTAAACTGTAGATGTATCTAATGTCTTATCAGATTGGTACCTAACTGGTTTACTGGTACAGATTATACCATAAGTATAGTTCCTATCATTTTTATGTGTATCATAGTGAACTTTTGAGTCTGATAGAAATCTTTTTTTTTTTCACTATTCATATCGTAGGAAGTGATAGCAGACGAATAGCAGTCAGACGATCACGTAATTCTTAGTTATTTTATAATCATCGCACAATTAGGGATGAGATCGGCGGTGGCTGCCGGCTGGAATTTACGACCAAGAGCCATAAAATCGTCATGGCGTTTAGTACCGTCCCCTACCGCGTCCATCCGTGGCGCTCGGATCGCGGATGAGAATGGACCGCATGTATCTTCCAGAGGCGAACCTGCCAACCGGCGACCGCCAGGACTATTCGCAGTTTTATTGTCCTTATATATAATTGCGCCAGTTTTTGCAAAGTCTCTTGGGATTTCGATGCGAGCTCCTCAAACTGGTCTCAGGTCGACCGTTTACCAACTGGAATTGAATCCTCGAAAACTGTCCAGCGGATCTTGGCTACGGAGTTTAATATTGTTTTTATTTCTTAAAACTGAACCTCATATTTTATGCGTCAAATGGGATTTTATAGACTCGTGCACCAGTGCGGTATGGGTATTTGGAATTGCGCCAGTGAGTTGCGCCATGTTACGAGGATCTGCGAGTAACGGAGACACGCGAGTATGCACGTAATAAAAGAGAGTCAGGATTGGACCAATGGTAAAATAAAGAATAAGGACGGCAAGTAAAAAAGGGAAAAATTAAAGAGTGCAGAAGTGTAGTGAGGTTATGGAGGTACAGAAGACAGGGAGAGAACCCCGTTAACCTCCTGCGGACAGTGACAGATGGGTATCGGCGTTGAGATGCATCGATTGGCCGCTCCTCTCCCGGAAAAGAATGCCGCAGCGGCCAATACGTGCCTCTCATGATTCAGAATGGCCGCAGACATTGAGAGAGAGAGAGAGAGAGAGAGAGAGAGAGAGAGAGAGAGAGAGAGAGAGAGAGAGAGGAAGGAAAAGAGAGAGATAAAAACAAATATAGAAAATACCTCAGTCCCTTTTAATAAGATGAGCTCGTTACATGTAAAAAAATTGAAATTTTTTTAAAGATTTTCAAATTCCCGCGCTTTCGTTCGCTACCTGCATTACGCGAATCCCAATATTTCTCTGCAACGAGCGAAAATGACGACCCAACTTTTTATATCTGTATCATGAAAAGTTTCCCATGTAAATTCGCATCCGCGTTATGTTCATCCGTTTCGACTGTCTGCGTCTTCTGCGTTAGGTTAGGTTACGTCAGGTTAACCCGAGTCAGGTTAAGTTATCGACTTCGCGTATCCCAACGGAGTTCAGAGTTTCTATGTTCCTGGGAAACCGCGTTGTGGCCACGAGAGACACGGGAGGCGTTGATGCATCCTCCGTGCTAGCTGCTGTGTTTCAGTCGGGATATACAACTAACTGCCTGCAGTATCTCCCCGAGATACCTATAGTACGTACCCATAGCTTACGTACATAGTAGCTCAAGAAATTCCAATCTGGCAGCAGCAGTGCCATTTAAAAAATCAGATTCAAACGCTTAAGGAACAGACACGAGCAAACTATATCTGTTGTCAAACTAATCTTTTTTTTCGGAGATGAATATTTGAAAAAAAAAAAAAAAATGAAAAATTGCCTAGTTTTTTTTTTTTTTATATTATCGACGTTTCTGGTACAGCCTGGTAGAAAATGGTCGCCGTTCGGGAATGTCACTCGAGCTATTCGTGTCTACCTTTTTAGGCGGGATTCGGTTGTCAGTGAATTCAGTATGTCGAATGGCAGCTTCGGCAAACGGAACGGCAGTTGTATATAAAGTATATATGTATACAGAAGAGACGCGCTCACCCTGAAGTCCTTTGCTTTTGGTTTTATTACGAAACTTGTTTTCTCAATTGAATTCAATGGTTATCCACTGTCGTGTTATTTATTAGATTGACTCTTCGTGCTGTTCCACCTATACACCACTCGATGCATGGATACCTTGCGTGCCTTGGGTGGCCATTTCTATGCACACGTAACAGACGTTTTCACTTATTTTACATTTTTTAATCCGCTCCTCGTTTTTCTTCCTTTTCAAATTCTCCCGCCATTTCGCGTCCCCGACGTAACAGCGCGGAGAGCACGTTACCTTACCAACGTAACAAAAATAATTTTCGTCCGCTTGTCGTTACTGTACTAGTTTGCGGCCATTGTTATTATTATTTGTCTGTATTGACGATAAACATTGCTTCTCAACAAGCCCGATGCACAAAGTTGCATTTTGCACTGCAACTGCATTCGATCTGCTTGTAACCCGAGCGTCGGCCGTGTTACGCGAGCGACCCGAGCCGCACGGTAATTGTCCGCAATGGGCGCCACCGTGTTACACGCTCCCATTACTTGGCCGCGTAATGGCTGGAAGGGATGCGGAAGGGAACCGATGATTATTAATGACGCTTTGATGACTGCGGCTCATCGGCTGCCCATAAACTGCTGACCCTGCCCTTACGTATGCTCACCTTCTCTACTTGCTACCTAACCTAACCTACCGCCGTATTATCCCATATCCCCAGTTTCCACGTGGTAATAAATTGCAAGGCACAGGTGCAGAAAGATTGATTTAACGTTTGGTAATGAGACCGTTCTATCGCGCCCAAGGTGTATGGCTTTGATGGATGACCGAGGGATCATTAGAAAATTGTTTCAATACGCCCTTGAACGAAGAGAAAGAAAAGGTAGATTCCTGTGGTACCGACGGAGCTGAATAATTATTCATGTCTGTCTTTATGATCGGTACGTTTATAGATATATTTTTTTTTTAATTAATTAAGATACCGAGAATTTTTAAAAAATAATTTACCATGCCATCGATGACCGTCCAACAATCTCTGTGTAATCTTGTCTTGTAATTTTTCTCACGTATGAATATGTACACGGGTCATCGATCTCGTTCGTGTAAGAAGACGAATGAAAGATGAAAAAAATGTATACCCGACACGTCCCCTGCAAATGGTCTCGTGTCTTCAATAATTCGATACTACTTGCGCCTCGTGATAAAAGTCAGATGACGCTATACCCGTATACGTGCATGATGATTGATCGTGGCTGATCGGTTGTCGAGTAAAACGACGATCTTCGGAAGATCCTTCTGAAGTTCCGTTCGGCACTGATCGTGACTCGTCGTCATCGTGATTGACCGTAGGACCCGATAGGGTTCGTGTATCATTGATGGATCACCAGGACCTGGACATCGTCCAAATGGAATCCTGGTCCGCCGTAGTAAGTGCGTATATGGGGATGATGTCCTTTTGGAAGCTGGGATGAGATCAGATTTTTCAAAGACCTGCTACAATTCTTTTTTCTTTTCAAATTTATATTCCGTCGTTCATGTTGGTGGTACTCGATAAGATCGAATCAAAGTTTATTTCGTCGGATGAGCAGCAGCTTCCGGAAGTCGCTGGAATGGGCTTTTCTTTTTGGGCTTCCTTTCTACTCACGTTGGTATTCCAGAAGGCTGCAGCTGCCAGTTTCATGTTTTATGGAAACCGCTTTTTCTCGTGGTTTTTGGGAATTTATTTCCGATGGTATCACGTGCCCCCCGAGAAGCCCTCTTGCCGCTGTTTCTGTCACTATAAGTTATTCGATAATTTGAATCGTGTTCCATTTTGTACGGCTCTCAGAATTACTTCATCCCACGGAATTGTCCTCGTCCATGGAATCCTTAAGCGCCTACGACGCGTCCGTCGGTTCTCCAGGCTCCGTTCACCAGAGTCAAAGGACCAAGAGGATGAGGACGAGCTTCAAGCATCATCAGCTGAGAACGATGAAGAGTTACTTCGCGATCAATCAGAATCCAGATGCAAAGGACCTCAAGCAACTGGCCCAGAAAACGGGCCTGTCGAAAAGAGTACTGCAGGCAAGTACCAATTCGATTTAGAAAAATTCCCTAGGAACACTATAAAAGTCTCCTCCCATTGCACTATAATTTAAAACGACGACGCAATCAGGTCTGGTTCCAAAACGCACGGGCGAAATGGCGACGAAATCTGATGCGACAGGAAGGCAACAATTCGGGCGGCAACGTTGGCTGCCCTGGTACCCCTGCGTCGTCCAGCGCCGGCGGTTCGCCAAGCGTTGCTCCGAGCTCCAGTCTCCTGGGCGACAGCAACAGCCTCCCTGCAACTTCGATGGAGGAATTGCACGCGCTGCATCATCTTCACTCGGGCGTCTCCTCGCAGGTCTCCTTCTCGGATCTTTACTGACGTCGGCTTCAGGTCGATGACGACAACGACGGCAGTTACGTTCTCGCTCGTGACTCACGCTTCATGGGAACGATCAAGTGAGGCGAGGAGGAACGAAGAAAATTGTTCAATTTCAAAATCGCCTAACAACGAGATCCGGTGGGGAATTTTATTTGGGGAAAAGAGGAAACTAGTCATTAGAAATTTTAATTTCCTTCATCCATACCACCCCCTTTCCACCCGATCCTTCGTAATCCCTCGACTCCAATATGTCCAATATGTTTATACATCATTCATACGTCTTATTGTCATCGTCGATTGAACTCGTAATTTTGAGTGCGAATCAGTGATAATACACATAGTTCCATGCACTTCCGAATTACCAAAGTATTAGACAATATAGAGAAACAGTTTTGTGAAAGGCGTATTCCATACGTGCGAATAGACGTGTGCACGATTGTGGGATTGCCCGTGGTGAATGGTGGGAGCGTAAGTGCGATCGACGTGAATGTAGGTGCGTGATATTCGTTGCTAATTTTTTGTTCTGTAAATTTGTCAAATTTGGCACAACAAATTTTTGCACATTTTTTAAGTAATTCAACTACCGACGGTCGTAAACGTGCCAAAGATATTGTTGCCTGTAATTTTTATTTTATCGTAATAGTCAATTGTCTCGACGTTTATTTATTGAAGCGATTGGTTTTCTGTAAGGAATGTCAAAAAGAAGCGCGTATTATTCGTTCGTGTTAAATGGTTTAGGAGTAGGGAAGAAAAATTATATTTATGGAATAAAAGAGAAGAAAATTGTAAGATCCGCCCACGAAAGCAAATATATCGTGAACGGAGCGTTTCCTCTAGTAGGTAATACCAAGGGATAGTCAGACGGAAGGGTGTCACGCATGAAAGTGCGAAACTACTCGATAAGAAATAAACGTTAACGATAACATTACTAATTAGTAGAGATTAAATAATATATAGACATATTTGGTGTGCCATATTTGAATGCAGCTATATTGCCGTGTAATAAATCATTCTGCACGCATCGGGACAAGTTGGAAGCTCGTTGAGACATTTTTAATCGAAACATTTCTTTTTTTTCTAATTCTCATCGCAATCTTCGAAATTCAAATGAAAAATAATTTTCTTTTTAAATTTCCCACAAACTCTCCGATACTTCCCGTTCGGTTCCCAATCGGTCCCATTCTTCGTCCTGGGCTATTGGCACCGTCCAAAAAGAAAAGCTATGATAGTTTCAGTTGGCAAACAAAATCCAATAGTAAACTCCTGTCCATCGAGAGGAACATATATATATACATATATGTTGAATAAATAAATAAATGTAAGAAAAAAAAAAAAAAAAAGAGAAGAAGAAGAAGAAGATGCAAAAAGCATCCTATTTAGCTTATACCAACATAGAGGAGCCAGTGTTAATTGTGCACCATGAATCCCATATATGCATGCGCGTCCACATGTGCATACGTCGGCCAGGGCCGTACGCCGTATATTTTGTCGGCGCTCATATAAGTTAATTTTCAATCTATATGCGGACTCGGATGGCGCGCGGCGACTCACCGACGAAATGAAGAAATTGACTCTCTCGTTAATATTTAATGAACCCACGAGACACCGCGGCCATCCTCGACTCCTTTGCATACGGATAGTGCGAGCAAAGAGCATGTGCAACGCGAAGCAAGTGCATCACGGATGCATAGGCGCTTACAGAACCAAAATAAAAGATCGAATAGCGCTTTGGAAAACTATTAGTTAAATTTCAATATTCAGCCGATCGTTCTGCCTATTTTTATTATTCCTCGTAAAAGCAACAGCAGGCATTGCCGCCACTTCCTGATTTCCCACTGTCCTCGGCTATTTTCAGTTTGCAATGCATTTGCCTGAATCTTGACCTCATCTGCCTATAATGATTCCGACCTGTAATAGGTAGTAGCACGAACTTGGCACACGAAGGTTTTTCAGTAAAAGTGAGTCACGGGTCGGTTGGCAGCCTTGTCCTTGTCCCATTCTTATCTTGTTAGCGAATAGAAAAAGATGAAGAAAAGTGCATCGGTGCATCAAGAAATGGTCTGTCGGACCAAGCTGGTCTGTCGTAGCGTTGATAAAATGCCCCGTACCGCACGTTATAAATTATAACGGGTGATAAATATCAAAATAAAAAAAGTACTCTCAATATAGGTAATACTGAATCAGAGTGCATAAGCGGATTTGGTGCAGTCGTTGCAGTCAAGATGCAACTGCAAAACATTATAGGAAAATCTGGTTACACTGGCAGTCCAAATTAAAGAGGCTCTAAGAGATATTATTTGTTTTCACGGTGAATAGTAATTGGCTCCTCTCGTTGCTCATGATGAATTTACCTGAATTATTGTATTTAACGTAAATTAGCCAAGCGTCGTTAAGTGGCACGCACACGCGTCGCCGATTCGCGTGCGTGCGATTCTTAACGAAGCCCGAGTGTGCGCATGCGGAGGATAAAAGACAGGACCGAGAATAAAGACAAAAACGTAAAATAATCAAAGACACGGCAGTCCCGGTTAAATATTCCTGATTTTCCTTAAGCTGAAGAAGTAAACCATATAATTAACCTTAAGAACAGTTTATACCTTTTTCAAGTTTCTCAGTGACCGCCGGTAGAATTGACTTATTTGGTATTTGCGTTTCAAGGCAGCTAAGATGTCAATGCGGCTGCCTTAAAGATTACCCCACTCATTTAACAGGAGGGAAAATAAATCTGAGTGTCACGAAGGATCATTACGTTCCCAAGTAAAATATCTTTGAAAGATAAAAAAAATGAAAATAAAAAAGTTCTAATCAAGATGACAAAAAGCATCGACAGTCACAAAGAAGTATTTCACAAGGTTGATCAAGATGAGCCCAGAGTATCATCCACGTAAGATCATCGATATTCCCACCCTGAGGCAATGGCGGAGCCAGTAGCAGAGTCATTATAAGCCACCCCTAAAAAGTCGGCCAATTTCCAGTAATTTGTACGCAGCACACAAGGACGTAGATCGTCTCACTCTTAAAGTCTGTCCTGGCAAAATTTCACGCAGCATCCGCGCACGCGGTACAGTCACATCCCGGAGGAGCCCATAGAATTCAACACGTGACTACAAAGAAATTCAGACTCGTGATTGGTAACGAAAATCAGACGAATGGGGATGCGCGAGAGAAGAAGATCCAGCCAGCAGAAGGATAGCAGGAGCTAGGGAGAGAGAAAGATAGAAGATCAAAATAAGATCCAGCAGTTGGGAGCGAGGGAGTGAGTGAGAGGGGGGTGGTGGGGTGGAGTAGAGAAAGGGAGAAGGCAAAGGGTTCTCTCTGTGTTCGTTCGGTCGATAGTCTTTTGTTCTGTCAAACATTGGAACGCGAACCGCGCCCGGTTCCACCGTTCCTCCCATTCCCAGTCCCCACTTGGTCCTTTGCTCCTTATTTCTGCTTTGCTGGTTGCTGCCTTCCCTCTCCGTCCCTCTCGCTATTCTTCATATAATTCCTACCCTCTCCCTCTATGTGTGTCAGCGTGCTGCTCGCACCGACACGAGGAGCCAGCGTGTGGGTTTGTCTCGTTTACGTGAACTCGGCAGTTTTTATTGGGGCGGCTGCTGCTGCCGCCGCTTCTGCTTCTACCAAGTTCCTCCTCTACTCTGGAGGCTTCTGATTATGCTCTTCCTGGCCCTCGTCCTCTTTGCTCGGCTTCCACTTGAAACCTGCCCTTACGTCCACTTCGCCCCACTCTTCGTGCAGATAGACGTAGCCGTAAGGGTAGCTACCAGCTGCTGTACTTCTCCGCCATTGCTTATACACGTAATACACGTGGTTTCTCGAGATTTTTATGTATTTTTTTTTATCGGTTCGGATAATATTTGATTTTTGTACTTTATATAAAAAAATCTCACTGGTAGCTTGAATGTTGTTGAACAAATGAAAAAAAAAATTAATTAATTTTATATGCGACCAAAAGCCAGTACGAGGAATAGAAACAAAAAATGTTGAAACAATTTTGGAAAAGTGACGCTTATGCGAGTTTGAGAATGATAATGATAATAGTGCTGGTCTAAGAAAGTGCATAGTCGGAAGGTCGTAGAGCCGCACTGGATGGCTGGCGAGGATCTAGAAGGTGGAAGAAACGGCCGTCGGGATGGCCGAGCCGCGGCCAGCAGATGCTGTTGCATATGGAGAACAGAAAAGGAAGGAAAGATGGCCGCTGCTCCCGGCATTGTCTACCGCGGGACTCCGTTGTAAATAATGTCTCTTCTGAGCGCGGCGAACAGAGGTTGGAGTTAGCGGAGCTTACAGCCTGGTTGGCCCCGGCAGAACCTGTCGCGCATAAACTGATTCGGTCCCGATGTCCTTTCGTCCTCGACTCCCATTGGCCACTGGCAGAGTCACACGGATAGGCAATCTCTGCATTCTTTTTTGCAAACTCCCGTTTCAGCGCTGTTACTAGGATTGAAAATTGACGACGGATGAAAAAGTTTGCGTAGTTAAGATTTCAAGAGCCAAGGAGCTTTTTACGAGTCGATAAGAAAACTTTTTTTTGTTAGTGCTAAAAATTCCCTAGATCGTTCCAAGTCGATGGGTGCGGCTATTTCGTCTGTGCGTCGAGTTCAGGAATTTTTGTTGTTTCGTTTCTTTCTTCTTGGAGCCTGTCCCTTTTTTTTTTGAGGTTAGAGGAGGCCCTGTTATCAAGACACTTGAATCGGTAGCGATCCGGCATGTATATGCAGTGGGATCCAATCGACTGTCTCTGGTGACTAACAGTTGTCGATAATCGTTGCATTTTATTCGGTCCACCCTGTATAAGTAGATAGAAGATGCAAGCGCACTCTGGTACACCTACCAGCGCTGGAGCAACAGAAGCAGCAGAAACAGAAGAGGCACGGTGCGAGTTCACGTTTCGCAGACTTTTTTCTTCGATTATCCAACCGGCGCATCGCTTATTCGTGTATAAGCCTTTTTTTTCAATCGTCCGCCATCTTCGATTTTTATTATTTTCTCTTTTCTCGAATTCCACCCTTTTGCCCTTTTTTTCATTCGCCTCATCTTTGTCCCCCTTTCTTACCTTGTTTATTTTGCGGTGGCAAGGGGAGGGATTCTTTGTTTCCCATCGTTTCTCCAGGAAGAGGGTTGGTTGCCAAGAAAGAGCCCAAGAAAAAAGCGAGAAGATAGTGGCCATTGTGGCACGATCTGGACAAAGGTCGCCATAGCGACCAGAATTCAAAGCCACGTTGGAAACTGCGATTTATGCAAATTGAATTCTCGCGCCCTTTACAAAAGTATTAGCGGATGTGAATATTACCAATAGGTCCTGCATAACTCTGGGTATCCCAAGAAAATTAAAAAAAAAAATTAGTACCAAAATTAATTTCATACTTTTTTTAGTCGTCAAGGCGGACACAAAAATCTGTACGCTCCTGACCTCTGCGAAATCCTGTACAGGTAGCGCCTCTGGCGGAATAAAGCCTCACTGGGATCGAACAGATTTATTTGGACTGTTTCGTGAATTTATTGGTTTCTAGCCGGGACTAAAGTTATTTCGAAGTTAATTTGGCACCCCTGAAACGACTGTCGAATGGTCCCAACCGTAGTACCAACTTCACAAGCCAACCAAGAGCCCAGGCTTAACTTCTGATCGGCCGATAACTGACCGGTGGCCATGTTCCCTCTGTCTATACCTAACCATATTGGGCAAACCAAGTATTTCACGGGTTTCAAAGTAAAAGAAAAAAGTCAAAGACAAAGAAAGTAAAAGGAGAGAAAGAGAGGCACTGCTAACACCTTTGACTCGTTAAAATACATTCTCCTTTAACCGTCGTGTCTTCGCCGAGCAGCAACAGGAATTGCTTTTTGGTAATACAAGACTGTGCGCTACGTGCGTTTGGCAGCAACGAAGATCCATTGCCACTTTTTCCTATAAGAATTTTTCCTGAGAACCGGAACCACTGAAATTAGACTAATTAGGATAATTCATGAAAATAAGTATAACGAACACTTTTCCAATTCACCAAACCAAAATAATTGTGGGTTTTCTATAATTGCTGGTGTCCTTTGCTTCTATTATTCGGTTTTTTTTCTTGGGTCTCTATAGAATTTTTTTGCGCACAGTCACTTCCTAAGACACAATCGAAAGGACTCTCGTGATCGAAATAACGAGCCAGAAATTTTCCGTGTAATTTTCGAAAAAAGGTCAGACGATTTTTTTTAATTTTTCAAATAGTACCTAAGTCGCTGCTGGCTGCCGCCAATTTGTGGTTTTCTACAAAGACTTTAGCTCTAACTATTTCTGGCTGTATCATTATTATTATTATTGTGCCCAGTCGAACAATGAAAAAATGGCAGTCGTACCGATTGGTTCCTTCAGCGTTTATTGTGTCTCTCACGATAATTAAAGATAATTCTGTTATTTTAGGAAAGCCCAAAAAAATCATTATCACTTTCTCATTATTTTCTCGTTTCACCTCGGAGTCTGTTTTTCTTCAGATTAACCTAACCGACGATCTAGATAAAAATCTTTCACGCCTCTTTCTCGAAAGGCAGAAAATGAATTTTGAAAATCCCTCGAAAATGATAGGGGTCCACTAAGCTAATTATTATTCGATGCTTAGTCTACCTAGATAAGGATCTTTTCACACCTACAAAAATTTAGAGCACAAAGAGTGGATTAGGAGGAAGATATTTTTTTTTATAATTTGATTTTCAATTTTTTTTTTTAAATGACATATACTATATGGTTATATACTGCAACTGCCTATGCATTATTACGTACCAGCTTATCAGCACGAATAAATTTTCAATAATAAATTAAATAATATTACATAAAAATCTTACGGATCGTACAGCCACGGCAGTGCAGCCCTCTACACAAACACAGACACACACATGCATGAAAAGTGCATCCTGCGACTCGAAATACAGACACTTCGCGGAAAGTTCAAATTACATCGGAACTCTGCCCGCAACTGCAAATTATGCAACTGCATTATGCAGTCGGAACGAGAGGTAAAATTTTCAAGAATATAAAAGATAAAGAAAGAATCGATAATAAATTGAAGAGAGTTCACCTACAGAAATACACGCTATACAGGGCCCTTTGAATTTTTCAAAGAGAACTGTCAAATCACATTGACGGAGGTCATGCTAATTAATTGACGACTATCAATCATTATTTCATCGGTTCCTCATCAGCGGACCGAAATAGCCTAGCTGCGCCGCGACGCCCGACGTCCTCTCGGTTTCGCTTTAGTTTAAAGCGCTATAACTCAATCCCGTGATGAGGTACGGGGCCCGCCCAGTACACGCCTCAACCAATAACTTTTAATACGGCCCTGCGCACCTTAACCCTTCGGGACGAAAGCTTGGCCAATATGAATATTATCTAAGAGCATACGTGCCCGAGCAAACTCATGAATACTAATGGACACATTAGAGAGGGCGCAATAGTCGAAAATATTTTTAACCTCAAAATATTTCCTCCTGATCTTCTCCATATTTTCAAATGACTCCCATAAGAGAGTGTCGTATATGTTCATCCGAGTGTATAAAGAACTCGTAGACTGCACTCAGGTACACGTGTTTCTCTCCATACGGATAAAAGTTAATTCACCTGAAATTAGCTGCGCTATGTTCCACGTGCGATTTAATAATTACTTAGAGCCAATTCCGTAACGCTGCCGAGTACGATACTTCTAATAAACTAATTGAACATCGTCCCGTCCATTTTCGAACGTCCATCACG